CTGCATCTTCTAAAGGGTTCTGTTTCTTACACCTGTAAAACCTCCTGTAAACATACTGGACTTTCAAATGACATGGCAGCTCTCTAAACTTGTTTTATATTTACTGGCCAGTGAATTCTTGCTGAGACATGTTAGCATTAGCCATGTTTGCATACCCAGAAGTTGCTGAGAAATACAAAATGAGGAATTGCATTTCAATCGTTTGTAAACTATAGTTAAACACAGCCAGACCAGGCTGTGAAGGCTGAGTTACAACTGTGCTTTTTAATGAGCTCTTAAGACCTCTCCATTATTCCTGAATTCTAGGCTCTGCATACCCTAAAAGCTAGGAATTCATTTGAATATTTTATGTTTTAAAAGCATATGAATATACACTTTAAAAATATGAATATATATGTGAATCTGACCACACTAGTTATGCTATATCCTCTGTATGTAATATACTCCTGACTAGCATTATGAAGTGCAAATTGCAGCAGAAAAAGTCTGTTCACAGATAAATCAACCTATTAATGATTTAATGCTTTCAGTTTTGATTTGAAGTAGTAAATGTCTCCTTGGGAAAAGAACTGAGAAATACAGATAAGAAATGCAAATAAAATGCTGTAACTAATCAGAATCAAACCATCTGGCATACGGAAATATCAGGAGACCTTATGACAGGTGATTCTGTAAGCACACAAAACAGAGAAAGGGGAAATTATGCTCTTAGTAGGGGAAAACAATAGCCAGCTTGGCACACATTCAGATGACTCTTAGGCCTTTCAGCTGCAGTTCATTGATTAGGCTGAACACTGGTATTTCAGGTTTTATGTAATAACACCAAACACATTACTTTAGCAATGCATTTCCTCAGTTTTCTGCATGAGACAAAGACCTGGCATAAATCTCTGTCTTTCCCTATCTTCTACAGTGACTTGAATATTTTGCTGTAACTGTGAAAGCGCTTTTAGAAAAAAAGTATTTGGAACACCATGCTTAGGAGTGGAGGCACAGCAGCAGAACAGCTTCTGCACCTCATCCTTTGCGGACTCCTGGGAGGAGAAGATATCATGGAGCCTGCAGCTGGGAAGGGTCTGCATGTCTTCCACAGCTGCTCTGCACCTCCCATGGTGAGCAGCACTAAGCACACAGCTGAGTCTGAGGATGGTCCAAAGAAATGGATTGCAATGATCCCTGCTTGTTCACATTCACTGACAGCAAAGCAAAATCTCACCACAGCTTATAAAATGCAGTTCCACAGCAGGAGATGTACTGTTCAAGGAGGCTTATGAGTCCAAAGCCTGCTACCCCAGCACTGATGGAGAGTAAAACCCACTGTTCAGGGGATCATAAGGCAAGCCTATGGACACAGATTCCAAACCTGTGGGCAGCTGCCAACAGACACACATATAAGACACTAAAGGAATAGGGCCCTAAGCTTACAAATCAGACTACAGCTGGGACACCTTGGTCTCTATTGATAGATACAGGAGGCATATGAAAGGGCTAGCACATCACAATTAAAAATTACCTCAGTTACCTGAAGTCGAAACAGAAACATAGCTCAAACATACATAAAGTGGAGGATTTTTGCCTTTTTTTCTTAATATATTATCCTCTTGTAGAGGCAAATTAGTTTTCCCTTTACAACATTTTCCATTAAGCAATGAAGTCGCCAGTGTTATTCTAAAGCCTTGACCAGCCCACAACTGAGCATATGAAGAATATGTAAAATACTTAGGAGGATTAGTTACCTACAAGTAGTTTCAGGTATTTTATATTTCAAGACTTCCAGATTCCTTCTGACCCATCTCCAGAACAACATCCTTCTGACTGGCTTGCTACAGACACTACCGTTCCTAACCAGTGCACTTTCTAAAAGCCTTAGATATCCAAAGTTTCATAAAGAAAGTCTAGTTGCTATGATGCACTATGAAAAAAACCCAAAACGAATTTGATTTGACACCTCAAAGGATAAAATGATGCTTTGACATTAAGCGATATGCAATGAGCAATAACTCAGCCTTATTTTGCTAGGCTTTATCTCTCAGAATATTTGGTCTTATGGCTCCAGGCACCCACACTTGCTGAAGTATTAACATTCTATTATCAGCAGATATTTCCCAAAGACTAGGGAAATGTTGAATTTACACTGTTGAAAAGTCATAGGACCTGTGTCACTCGAAAAAAAATCAAGAAACCAAGATAGAGGAGTTACCTCCAGCTCTGTGCGAGAGGATGGGTTGATGCAACCCTACTCACAGGCTTTTCTGGTGAAAGAAATACCCACTCCCATCCCCATCCCGATACCCACCACCCCGGAGGCAGCAGGATGCCCTGGACCCGCGGGGATGCGGAAAGGCGCATCCCGGGACTCACAGGTTGGCAATGCCCGCTTTGCGGACAGCGGTGGAGATGGCTTTGATGGCCGTGCAGAGGGAGTTGAGGAGCTGCGTGAACTCCCCGGTGCCCTTGGCCCGCCTGCCCTCCTCCATCACGAAGCGGGTCATGGTGATGACATTGGTGTCGAAGGTGGAGCGGTCCGTCATGGTGCCGGCGCTGCGAGTGCGGCCGCGGCCGCCAGCACCGGCACTTGCTTCGGCGGGGCGGGCCGGGGCGGGGCTGCCAGCGAGCACAGCGATCCCACCCCTCCCTCCCACCGACATCCTGAAATATCCGCCGCGGGGAATCCCCGCCGCACCCTTTTTTTTTTTTCTTTCTTTCTTTCTTTTATTTTATTTTTTTTTTAACCAAATCTTGTCTCATACGTCGCGCGGGGAGAAGCGACGGAAGGATGCTTTGGGGCACTCGTTCTGGGAACGGCACGGAGCCGATCGAGACACGGGTGCTGGTAGCTCTGTTCTTGTTGTCTCAGTGGTCGCACTTCAGTGCTAACGGTCCTGAAATTGTGCCCCAAAATTCAGAAGTCAGCTTGGTTTCACTACTTGATTGCAACACTCTGTGTCTGTGATTGTAGATTATAGCGAACTGCACACAACCTACAGAGCAAGGTCAGTATCTTCTGCTGCACAGGAATGCTCTCATCCTGACTCTTCAGTACAGGAAAACCACATATTCAGTAACCGATTCCATCAAGTATTAACTTACTCACTTTACAGAGGTTAAGACACCATAAAAAAGCTGCCAGGAAAAAGCCCCTGCAGCTGAACCCAATGAGACTTTTATAACAAACTCTCCAAACCTCATCAATAGGAAGACATAGACTGACTCCCACTTCAAAAGCTAGACGTTAAAGCACCTCATACAAATACTGCTGCAAGGGAATCTAGACCCTCCTGAATCTCATTTCTTTTGGTTCTAGCCTTTCTGATTTTGCAGCAAAATCAAGCAATATATTTTGGTGCTTATGTTTGATCAGAAAAATCCAAGCACTAGTAAAGGAAACCAGGTTTGTCCAACACCTGACCCTAGATAGACCCTTTCACACAATAATTTGACAAACACAAACCTGAATACAAATATACTACTCAGATTTTTTTGTGCTAGCAATTATTCTATATTCATATTATCTAGGAAGATGAATATTTTAAAAAAATATTTTTCAGTAGAACACATTCATGAGTTGAATAAGAAGAGTCTCAAATTCTAAGTTGAAATCACAAATTGAAATAATTCCAAATGGTGTCAAACACAGGGCAAAAGCCTTTTGCAAGATGCACATCTTTGCATATATGTACATTCTATCTTCATGCAAAGTACATTGCATATCTATGCAGTAAATACTTGGAATGTATGCATAAATGTCTTCTCCTAAAAGTGTCAACAACTTTGGCCTAATTTTCCCATGCCCAGTATTACAGACACTCCTGAAGATATTAGATATGAATAATAGTGCTCTCCTGAACAAGATATTTCAGTCTTTGGCAAGTGGTCAACAGCCCAGTATCACAAAAATATTCTTTTAGAGGAAGGTGGATTTGGGAAAATTTACAAAACATGGAAGTTAGCTCATTCTTTAAGAGTTAGCAATGCTTTACAACCATATAGAGCAGCTACTGCAATCTCAAATGATCAAATAAAATTTTGGATGTGCTCTGAAACTGTGTAGCAGCAGGTGGTCAGAACAACCTGGGGATATATGACTTACAGTAACAAACCACAGAGTCTCTGATTAGGGACAATTTTCCTTAAATGTGAAGACTCTAACAAGCACATCAGTAATCTACAGGAAGAGCTGTACTTCAGTATAAAATAGTCAAGATCAGTTCAAAACCTAAAGTATTGGTATCTATGACTGAAGATAACTAACATCTTCTATCTTACAGGGAAGATATACTGTCCTTGAGTTGATGATGAGATTTTATCTCTGAACTTTTGAGGTTTGTGAGATGAGTGAGAGATGAGTTTTACTCCTCCATTCCCACTATGGAAGACAGGTAGAAACAAGTATTGTGAACTGAAATTGCAATAATTTGAAACGTTGCTGGTTTCATATAAGTCCATCCAAATGTGCATTTTCTATTGTGGAGAAGGAGAATTATTTTCAGCCTATTTAGCATGTCCTTAATCTTCTGTATTTGAGGCAACTCAATAGAACATTGAGATTAATCCACCTCCACATACCTGGCCTTAGAATGTATGCATACATTGTTCTTTTCTGGAATTCTACTCTTAGTATAAAAAGCTGACATGACATTAATTAATTAATATCAAATGGTTGAGGGTAGACAAACCATGCAGCCCTATAGCAACCATGCTGTTTGGTAACTATAAAATCAGTGTAAGATTAAAAGTAGGCTTTACATGTTGTGAACCTTTGGCTTTAGAAAACAGTAGTTAAACATTTATTGAAAAGGAATTGGTGGATTTGAGGTCAGTCAGTACTGGTTGACTAAACATTGCTGAAACAGCTCACTTCGACACAGAAGAAAACAGGGACTTGTTTGCGCACAGATGACGTCAAGTAGACATGGTTCACAAAAGTTTTAGAACTCTAAGATTACAAATCCATGTAACTACTTTGAAACAAATTTTTCTCCCAGCACATAGAATCCCAGTTGCGTAATTATCTTGAAAATAGGACAAACGCTGATGAGAAATCCTTGATTATAAAGGTTGCCTCTTGTAGGTTGAAATGCCAGACCGAAAGACAATAGGAGTGAAACCCCTCCTCACAAAGGACTTTTTTTTTCCCTGAAGTAAGAGTGCCCATGTGGGAAAACCAGCTTTAGACTCCACTTTTGCTGAAGAAGAACTTTCTTTGCGCAGGAGTCTCACAACTGCAGAAGTTTTGCGCTGGTTGGGTGGACAGAAGGTAAGATCAGGCAAGTTACATGGAGATAATTTGCAAGGCAATGTCACTCCACCAGTGCAGGTGCTCTCTGCCATGTGATCCCATCATGATTAGGGCTGGAGCAGCTTCAAGGGCATGAATGAGGCAGATCCTGCCTGCTGGAAGAGATGGATCAGGGTGAAAAGGGGAACTGTGCATGTGAAATCAGGAAGATTTCTAGATGTACAATCAATATTTTGCCTTCTTTGCTTCAGAAACTGCTTCATTTTGCCTATGTGAATTTCCTGTGTGAGAAAGAGTCTGCACATAGGCAATAGAATAGAACATTGATTTACAACTGTGATAGCAAAGCCCCTCACCTCTCTGGACACAGGTGAAATATAACAAGTGTCACAAACTGATGTTTAAACATAGGTAATTATGAGTGCAAATTGGCTAAAAGATAATTTCTTTGTGTAGTAGATGTAAAAGGGGTTTCATTTGATATTATGCATTATAGTACTACAAGTGATTAAGAAGTAGAGATGAACTATAAGGTTGATATTAATGAATGTGAAGGGATTTTCCCATGCCTGGTGCTCTCTTGTGAGATTGGGAACACTGTCAGCATTTCAGTGTGAGACCAGCTCTTGTGAGAGTACCTTTGCAGTTTTCTGGAGGGGGACAAAGCACTTAAATGTGCAGGCAGTAGATCCTGGAAAGGAAGTCTTTATGCCTCTGAAATATAGATATTTAACCACAAGTTTTATATCTCTGTATTTTTTACTTACTGACAAGCTTCTACCAGGCAAATAAAACAAGATATTAAATATAAGTTATTGCATTTGCTATGGCTTCTTACCTTGTGAAATGTATAGAGTAAAAGTACTTTAAGTAATCATGCCAAGTCTATGTAAAGAAAAAATAAATTTAACCCCCCAAACAACAAAAATAAAACAAAACAAAACTAATAACCAAAGAACCAAAACAACAACAACAACAAAACAACAACAACAACAAAACAACAACAACAACAAAACAACAACAACAACAAAACAACAACAACAACAAAACAACAACAACAACAAAACAACAACAACAACAAAAAACAAACAAACAAACAAAAACCAGAAAGAAACCCCAAAACCACAGTTAAAATCAGATAGAGCTTTCAGTGCTCAGAGATCAGACTTCTAAACTAAGCTAAGAAGGTAATTAAAGTGGAGTTATATAGTTATAACAGTTCCTTTTGCAGAAATAAATATCTTCTGTCAATACTGAATGACATGATGTCATGATTACATGACACAATTTGTCAATGTAACAACCAACTAGAAAAAGAAAAAATATTATTTCAAAATTTAAGCTGTAAACCTGCAAAATTCCAGGCTGATGAAGGAAAAACATTCCATGTAAATGGTCAAACTCCATTCTCAAACCCTAATCATAGGTTAGATTGCTGGGAGACATTTTCCATTAATGTCCTTGCAGATTTATTTGCTGTGTTTAATAAATATTTATATTGTAGTATTTCCAAGTATTATCTATCTAGGTTTTTCAGATCCTGTTCTTCTGGAAGCATTACATGGACAGTGTCACAGAGGTTCAGAGGTCAAAATCATAATTTTTTAGCTATGGTAATTTTAAGTGTACATGATTCAATTCAGAATTTGTGTTAATCAGCATAACTAAATCTGTTTTCCTACATAAAGGTCCAGAAGACTAGTTGGCTTTTCCAGGTTTATTGACAGTGTGAGTAGGGTCAGATCTGAATGCTTCTAGTAGTGATATATATACAAAGAAGCATGATGTAGAAATGCAACATAATATCCACAAAAATCTCCTTTTGTGTAAGTGATGAAAAAAGGCCAATAAATGAATGAGTGATGGTTTAGATGGTCATTCCCTGCTCATCTCTATCATAAGTATTCTGTTCCATGCCTGAAGTACGATCGATAAACCTATTTAAATATACCAATAGCTATTACATTTTAAAAACTCATTTTATCCATTGTTTGCATAGTTTGCCACAGAATTCTGAATAGGCATTAGCTAATCCTTATAATCATGTTGTGATGTAGGGAGGCTGGTAAAGAAAATCAAAGGAAAAACTTTATCCTGTGCCACAGAGAAAAATTGTGACTTCATGAAAAAGCTGACTGGTTACTTTGGGAATTCACTCCGTTTGAGAAAGAATGAAGGAAAATGGGATAATGATGTATTTAACTCAAATATACAAGAATTACATTTGCATGTATTTTCTTTTGGTCTACTAACTTGATATTTCTTTGGTGATACAACTGTGAACAGTATAGAAGAAAGTGGAGAGGGGACATACCAAGCACATACAGGGCCAGCTCTGGAGAACTGAAAAGAAAGTTGAACACATAAAGCTAGGACATTACTCATATGACTTTAAAAACAGGGATGATAGGTGTGTAGCAAGGATACTTTAGGATGCTTAAGCGTCCATTTTATTGTGATAGGATTAATAAGCAGTAGCTCAAAATCCTCTTACATTAACCAGTTATTAGGATAACTATAAAATCCAGTTCTAAAGTCAGATATTATATTAAAACTTCCCATCATTGCTGCAAATAGTCTTTTCTTACTGATGGCAGTAGCAGCAAAAACATTTCCTTTGACAATGAGAGTATCAGGCATGCATGGCCATTTTGTTCTGTGTACAGCCTTTAGCATGTGAGGGGTCTAGTGCACAACTGAATCTTGTAGGTGACAGGGCAATACAGAGTCAGTCACCATTTTTGCTTGAGATGCACGTTGAGCAACTTTGTCTTGACATTTGTGGTAGTTTTGGGTATATGCTTTTGTTCTTATCAAATGACCTATTGTAAAATCAAATTCACCCATTCATGAGTACATGTACAGGTTTAAATGAAAAGCATAGCTTCATTTTTTAAGACCACTTGAATTTGTAATGAAATTGAATCAGCATAGCTTCATTTTTTAAGACCACTTGAGATTCAATTTCATTACTCACACACATGTGGAAGATTGCATAGGCTAAACTCCTGCCCTTGCCTTACATGGTCCCAGTGCCATTCATCACACAACTCAAGGCTGATACCCAAAACACAGTATGTGTCAAGACAGGAAGAACTAGATGGCAATGTCAGAATCAGGCTTTTGATCACTGGGAAAAATATTTCCATTTGCTCAAATTCCAGCATCCAGCCATACTAGCTCCCATTTGATTTTAGAATGTAGGCATGAGAGCTGAGGGGAATATGAGCTCAGGGCTCACCTCCTGCAAGTAGCAGCTAGAGATGCTGCATAGAAGAATGCGTGAGCCTGGCCTGCACACTTTCCATTCCTACTCCTTCCTTACATACGTGGACTAGTGCTTCTAGAAGGTGCATCCCTGTTGCTATAGCCCAGCTATATTTGTGACCAATAACCTAATAGGAATCCATAACTTAAAACGCTAGTGCATTGCAAGATATGGCTCTGCCATCCTAGGAGCCTGTTACATTATTACATACGGGTATCTCTTTCTGTGAATCTGAGGAAAACAGCATAACACAGAGAAAAGGCAACAAGGATACCAGGGATATGGCTGTAGAAGCACTTTTTTCGTGTGACTTAGAGGAAATCACAGAGCTGGTCGGGTTGGAAGTAACCACAGTGGGTCACACGATGCAACCTTCCGGCTCAAGCAGGGCTATCAAAGCACACATGGCACAGGATAGCGTCGAGATGTCGTGAATATCCCCACTGAAGGAGACTCCACAACCTCTCAGGGCAATCATCATAAAATGGTGTCAGGAAAAAAAAAAAAAAAAAAAAAAAAGAAGAAATCAGGTGTTCAGTCATGGACACTTCATTTCGGAACAAGTCACTTTGTTTATTTCCGGCTTGCCCTAGGCAGAGACTGTGCAGTACCAAGGCTCTGCCATCAGATGGCAATGCTTGTTTATGACGAGCTACTGCAGAACCGGAGCCTGGCAGCTCTCCGGGGGCAGAGGAGGCTGGTGTGATCCCCGTGTGCCTCTCCCTTGGATAGAGGAAGTGAAGCTCTTAGCACTGGCAGTGACCAAGTAGACGGAGGGGAACCGGATGGTCGGCTCTCTCCGCCGCTACCAGAAGACAAGAGACTGCCACTGTATTTGAAACCTACTGCTAATGCAAAATCTTAATTTAAATCCTGCTGGAAATGTGCATTCATTATCTCGAGGTCCCTGCTTCTACTCACTGAATACTCCACACGCTCCCATCTCTGCATCAGTCCTCCCAGTCTGGTTGCTTTCAGACAGTTTCCAGTGGTTCATCAGAACATGATTAGACCTTCTACATCTGACATCCTTACATACTGCTGTTGGTGATTATTATTTTTAGTACAGTAGTTGTTTAGGATGAAGGCCATGATTTCATGGAAGTAATTATTGGCAGTGTATAGAAAGAGAAGGAAAAAAAAAAGGTCTTTGCCCTACACACTCTGAGAAGAAGAGAAAACAGAAAAAAACCCAGGCATATAAAGGTGTCCCTGGTTTTACAGAAGAGCTGCTGCAATGCTTCCACTGCCATTCAAAAATTTACTGTTAGTTTTTCACCTTTTCCTCTTTGAATGGTGCAGTCTTATGTTGATCTGTGAACGGTATTTTGCTAATATGTGCTGAATATATCAGGAGAGAAAAACTAAATAAAAAACCCCCAAAAAACTAAGCCCCCCCAAGAAACAAACAAACAAACAAAAAACCAACCAACCAACCAAACAAAAAAACCCAACACAAACCCCCCCCCCCCCAAAAAACAAAACAAAACAAAAAAAAACCAAACAAAAAAACAAACCACAACAACTAGTTTTGGGGAAAAATAACAAAAACCAAAAAAACCCCAAGAAAAAAACAAACAAACAAAAAACCAACCAACCAACCAAACAAAAAAACCCAACACAAACCCCCCCCCCCCAAAAAAAAGCCCAAAAAAACCCAAACAAAAACCCAAACCACAACAACTAGTTTTGGGGGAAATTACCTACATTGAGTAAAAAAAACCAAACAATTCAATGCTCAAATTGTGCC